TATTATCTTCTTATTCTAGACGGCCATAGTAGCTACGCTATACTAGAGTTCGACTAGTACTGCGTAGAGAACAAGATTATTACTCTCTATATGCCGCCTTACACGTCACACCTCCTACAGCCTCTAGACGTGAGCTGCTACTCCCCTCTTAAGCGCGCGTATGGACGCGAGGTCGAGGAGCTCGCCCGCCATGGCGTCTACTATGTTAACAAAACAGACTTTCTTACAGCCTATACACGGATCTGGCCGACTGTATTCACGTAGCAGAATATCTAGGCAGGCTTTTAGGCGACAGGCCTTGTCCCTCCTTGTCCAGATCGCGTCCTATCGTCGCTAACTGTCGTCCGAACGCCGTCTCCATTACAGACTACTATAGATAACAACGTTATAGCACAGACAGTAGCGCAGATAGAGACACCACATACAGTAGTAGAGGTTCAGCAGCAGCTGCGCTATCTCCAAGAGCGGCTGCGCCGGCAGCTAGAGAGCCCAACAAGCGTCGCGATACGCCAGCTCGCGAAAAGCGCTCAGCTTGCGATGCAATTAGCAATAATGCTTATAGAGGAGAATAAAAAGCTACGTATAGAAAATCAACGTTAATAATAGAAGTAGAGTTAGCAGCGTTAATATATAGCTTCTAGTGGAGTCCTCTAAGTGCAGCAGGCTTAGCAGCTTGCTATAGAGGTAGAAAGGGTGGTTGTAGAGGCTGAATAAGGTGAGAGCAGTCAGCGACGTCAGCGCGCGCCGCCGACGTGCACAAAGTGCCATATTCAAGGACACACTCGCACTACATGTAAGGCTAGATAATGAATCATATCTCTGAATTTTATCTTATTTTACTACGTTGTTGTGGCTCAATTGCGTGGAGAGTCGCGTCGAGCCTGGTGGGGCGGCCAGCTTACTGTTCCGGCCAGCTTACTGATCCCGCACGTTATAGTTTATATACTAAAATATAAATATAACCTCTTTCTACTCTCTCAAATTTATATTTAAGTCCTCTTCTATCTACTTATATCGACGCTCGTCTCACCAGTATGGTCCTTGGGTTGTCGCGCTATCGCACTTTTAGTCCAGAAGAAAGTTCTTATTCTAAGAGGCGAAAACTGTGCTAGTTATATCGACTTAACCGCGATGGTGAACGACGTTTCTCGAAATCTACGGTCTGATGATCGATGTCAAGGGGAGGATGGTTTTAGCGCCTTCAACTCGAATATTGTCCCAACTCCCTGCGTTAACTTATGCGGTAATAACGCTATCGAATGCCGAGCTTTCGTTGGTTTTACAGCTTGGCGGGTATCTAAAGCTAATCAATCCAACCCCTACTTATCCTGTGCGATTAGAGATTACGCCTCCCGAGTCACCGGAAAACCCTACGTTGCACCAGGCCAGATTGGCGCTGGAACCTACGTCCTTGCAACTGTTTCAAACGACAATGTGCATTGCGCACATCGATAATCCGATGCACAATTAGTAGTTCCTATCCTCAATCCCTAACCAATATGATACGACGGGACAGCCCTTCCCCGCGCTAGAACCCGCTTAGCGTTAGGGTAGAAAACCAAATCGGGCGAATATTTAAGGGATGCCCCGCGTACCCTAACACAGCTGCCCTACGACATTTTTTTATTATTATTAAAAACTGTGTTATACAAAGTTAACTTAAAAGCGCATGCACAACCCACTACTAGAGTTTTACTATGTGTAGCTAGAGTTTGTTGTTATTAGGGTTGCGTTCTTAGGGTTGCGCGACAATGGAGAACCCCACATGGAACAGTCGAGCGCCTATTGAGCAGCACGACAGCAGCAACGCGCGCGCCACAGACGTGCAGCACTGGCCAAAGATCGTTACAAAGGAGAATTGCGACAATGTATTTTGCTTTCTTAGGCAATATAAAGTGCTTGTGTGCAGGCAGCACTGCACAGGCGTCTTGAATCTTAACAGGCATCTACAAGAACAGCACAAGACGCCCGTACAACAGCGACAAGAGGTTGTTCAATATTTCAATCAATTTTCCACAGCAGAGCCGAGCACAATTCAACTT